TCCACATATACAAGCACAGAGACAATTTCAACCGAGAAGATGGATTCTATCTTAGCAATCATTAGAAAGATTTGATAAACCATTTCAGTTCTTAATTGATTGTTCACGCTTACATTGGCTTTCAGACCGCATACATTATAAAAAATTTCGTCTCCCCTCTCCTCTTTTCAAAATATAGATGGACTAGTCCTGGGTAAACTGCCGAATCGCTGCACGTGACGCTAACGTTTTTTTTTATAAATAAATAAATGCGCCGTTTACAAATAAATTTATGCAAGCCAACACACCTGAAGATGACCGTTTGAGTTATGGTCGAAACGTCGTGAGAATTTTTTATTGTTTTATATATATTTTATTATTTTGTTGTTTCTCTTCAACGTGACTTTACCGAAAAAACTAAGAATAAGAGTCTCATCTTGTTTAAAAATAAAATTACGGATGTGAGTATGCGTTTGCTTACACCAAAACTACCCTAAATGTGCCTTGCCTTTTCAGAAGCTGAGCAAGCAAGAGCCAGTTTAGTCCATGGATGGGTGACCACTGGATCTTGCCAGGAAAAGGCAGTGTTGAGTCTTATCCCTTGTTATTCGCGTGGGGTTTCTCTGGTCTCTCCAGTTTCTTCCCGCATTAAATCTTAATTTGAAGCTTTCGTGACTGCAGGAATCCATACTCTTTGGTACTTTCGGTAAAGTCACGTAGGTATAGAATAAATCACGACGTTTCGGGCGCAACATAAGCGTCCGTCATCAGGTGGGAAAGCATGGTCTGTCAGAATTTCCCCACAATTTTGTTTTCTAAATGAGAATATTGTGGCAGACTGTTTTAAAAGGTTTGCAATGGGTGTAGCCCAAGGGTCCTAACGAAGTGGCCGGGGCTAGTGATGTTAATGTGAGAAATTAGCGTGTAGCAGTAAGATGGGAGGAGAGCGGTCTCCTCGACGAGGGCACGGTAGTGGCTATGTTAATGTGAGAGATTACCATTGTGTTAATGTGAGAGATTAGCATGATGTTACAGTGAGAGATTACCATTGTGTTAATGTGAGAGATTAGCATGATGTTACAGTGAGAGATTACCATTGTGTTAATGTGAGAGATTAGCATAATGTTACAGTGAGAGATTACCATTGTGTTAATGTGAGAGATTAGCATAATATTACAGTGAGAGATTACCATTGTGTTAATGTGAGAGATTAGCATAATGTTACAGTGAGATATTACCTTTGTGTTATTGTGAGAGATTAGCATAATGTATCAGTGGAAGATTACCATTGTGTTAATGTGAGAGATTAGCATAATGTTAATGCGTGCGATTAGCATTATGTTAATGTGAGAGATTAGCATGTCGTAAATGTGTGAGATTAGCATTATGTTAATCTGAGAGTTTAGTAAGAATGTATTGTGAGATTAGCATTATGTTAATGTGTGAGATTAGCACGATGTTAATGTGTGAGATTGGCATGTTAATGTGAGAGATTAACATGATGTTAATGTGTGAGATTAGCATGCCAAACACTCATTATTAATGGGCCTGGTCAAACATCGCAATTGCAGCAGCTTCTTGTAAAAAATGATCTGTGAGGATTCCCTGGGTAAATACTACAATTGACATTATTATATGGTATGTAGCTATTTGAGCGCAGGGAATCATTTCCACTTCAACAAAGGAACTTTTGCGATTATCTAACAATCACAATTTAGGATGAGTCCGTCACTCTTAATGCAGCTCTTGCTGCCAGTGTGATGGTGGGTCTGGCTACCTGTTGTTCACACACCTCACATTCCGTCAAAATCACCGTGGGTTTGTCAGCTTTTCCAGCATTTCTGTCAGAATTTCCCCACAATTTTGTTTTCTAAATGAGAATATTGTGTACCGTACTTGCAAGCGGATATAGAAACAGAAACTTCAAAAATGATCCTCATTCCAATAATCTGCTAATCCCTGTAAATTAGATTTTTACCCGCGGTTCGCGACTCCGAGAGGACTGTTGATCCTGAAATCCGTGAAAGAATATATTGCGTGCCTCATGAGAACTAGTCTGGAGAGTGACTTAGCTGTGGGTAGCCCCCTACATCACTATCATTATGAAGTGTTGCCTGAGCAGTAGTCAGTTGGAGCCACAGGGACGCCTTCTTGCAAAAACAATTACTTTAAACCCAAGCTTTAAGTCAAGATATAAACCCTCATCAGGATCTATTTAACTATTTTTATTTGTTTTAAAGCTTTCGTGACTGCAGGGATTCATATTCTTGGTTCTTTCGGTAATGTTTTCACACCTGATGATGATTGCTTGTGTTGCAGTCGAAACGTCGTGAGAATTGTATTGTTTTATATTTTTATTATTTTATTGTTTCCCTTCTACGTGGCTTTACCGAAAGAACCAAGAATATATATTTTTATTTGATTTTAACAGAGCTGTATAGCTATTTTTCAGAAGCGACCTGGCTATCACAAATCATAGCTCAACAAAGTGGCTCATCATGGGGAAATTTGTAGCAGCCAAATACTCTAAACGCGTGTTAATTCTAAATGTGGAGGGAAAAACCGGAGGACCCGGACAAAAAATCCACGCGACCATGGGGAGAGAGACATGCAAATTCCAAATATACATGTGTCCTGCATACCATGCGAGGTAGTTAACATCTCGCCACCGTAGCTGTGGTGACCCACAGCCCTGTAGCATTGGGAAGGTCACGAGAAGTGGGGCGTGGGGGTGCTGGAGGGATCTGAGGAACCCCCCCAGCTGTTGAGGGCTCAGCCCCCCCCCCCTTCCCAATTCTTATTGTCAAGTCAAAACAAATATTGGTACAACATTTCCTCATAAGTAGATGGGGCCAGAGCTAGATCAGGATGCCCGATAGACAAAGGGTGGCTATTCAGGGTGGGCACTTTGAGCATCGCCTGTTGAGGCTGCTCCACCTGGTGGGAAGTCAATAAAGGAAAGACTCTCTCTATGACGTTGTGGTGCGATACGTTCATCAGTGGCTGAAGGGCCACTAGTGGAGAGGACCTAATGCGTAGAATGACCTTCAAGATTTGTTGATGTTGGAGCATGCTCCATGGGTCACCAACCTACACTGACCAGTGTGTTGAAGGAGGTCCACATAGCAACTTTCGCTGACAGGAATCCTTCCGCCGGCAGTGGATTCACAAATGGCTGAAAATGTATGTTTTGTGAATACTAGCTCGGCTCATCATCGGCACTGGCTGTCAGCAGATATGTTTTACATTTGTAGCGAGTGTTTACGAAGTACTTGTGTGCCTTGATTTGGCACATCATGAGTTATTATTGTTTCATGAAAGTCGAGCGTGATGCTCGTTACGGCAAGTCAACCGGTTTACTTACTGAATATAAAATGTCAACTTTGCTTTATTAGTCCTTTCACGTTCCCAGTAAAGCGTCACCTTTCAAAACAGGTGCTAACGTGTTCAGAATGCCCTGTGCAAAGGTGCACTGAAGGTAGTAATTATTGCAACACTATGGAGCGGATCCTGGCTATGTGATGCGTGTTATGTTTGTGTGACATGCGATGAATGCTTTTTGTTTCCGTGCCTTGCACTGAGCACTGCCATGGTTTGCTGTTTGCAAGCAGTGCTCTATATTCCCCGTGATGTGGGTTAAATTATTGGAGGTTCGCAATGTGGACTTGGGCTGGACCTCCTCTAAAAAAATGTGCGCTCGGCGCAGTAGGGTCAACGTCGCTGAGGAGTAGACAAATATAGTTGGGAACAGTGCTCACCAGAACCAACCCCCTCAATCAATGTATAGTACTGTGCTGGCCTTTTTAGGCGCTTGCGAACAACTGTGATCTGTACCGCGTAGTAACATCTGTACTGCGTAGTAACATCTGTGCCACGTAGTAACATCTGTGCCGCGTAGTAACATCTGTACCGCGTAGTAACATCTGTACCGCGTAGTAACATCTGTGCCGCGTAGTAACATCTGTACCGCGTAGTAACATCTGTACCGTGTAGTAACATCTGTGCCGTGTAGTAACATCTGTGCCGTGTAGTAACATCTGTGCCACGTAGTAACATCGGTGCCGTGTAGTAACATCTGTGCCACGTAGTAACATCTGTGCTGCGTAGTAACATCTGTGTCGCGTAGTAACATCTGTGCCACGTAGTAACATCTGTGCCGTGTAGTAACATCTGTGCCACGTAGTAACATCTGTGCCGTGTAGTAACATCTGTGCCACGTAGTAACATCTGTGCTGCGTAATAACATCTGTGCCACGTAGTAACATCTGTGCTGCGTAGTAACATCTGTGTCGCGTAGTAACATCTGTACCGTGTAGTAACATCTGTGTCGCGTAGTAACATCTGTGCCGTGTAGTAACATCTGTGCCGTGTAGTAACATCTGTGCCGTGTAGTAACATCTGTGCCACGTAGTAACATCTGTGCTGCGTAGTAACATCTGTGTCGCGTAGTAACATCTGTGCTGCGTAGTAACATCTGTGTCGCGTAGTAACATCTGTACCGTGTAGTAACATCTGTGTCGCGTAGTAACATCTGTGCCGTGTAGTAACATCTATGTCGTGTAGTAACATCTGTGCCACGTAGTAACATCTGTGCCGTGTAGTAACATCTGTGCCACGTAGTAACATCTGTGCTGCGTAGTAACATCTGTGTCGCGTAGTAACATCTGTGCTGCGTAGTAACATCTGTGCCACGTAGTAACATCTGTACCACGTAGTAACATCTGTGCCGCGTAGTAACATCTGTGCCGCGTAGTAACATCTGTGTCGCGTAGTAACATCTGTGCTGCGTAGTAACATCTGTACCGCGTAGTAACATCTGTACCGCGTAGTAACATCTGTACCGCGTAGTAACATCTGTACCGCGTAGTAACATCTGTGCCGTTGCAGGACGCGCACGAAATAGGGCCCCTCAGCTCATCGGGTCCTTCCTGCCGAAATAAATGAAATGTATCTAAATCTATAATCGTCTCTTAATCTTGATATCTGCACATTCGCCCATCACACGTTTCTCCCCGATGCAGAAGGTGTCGACGGAGGGACGGCTCCAGGGAGGCTCCTACCAGGACCCGCGCTTCGAGGGAGGCGTGGAGCGCGTGGCCGAGGTGGACATGAACGAGGTTGGGTGGATGACATCCGTCAAGGACTGGGCCGGGGTCATGATCTCCGCACAGACGCAGACGGGACGCGTGCTGGTCAGTTGCGCTCGACTCCTCGCAAGCATTGAGCCTGCCCCTTAATTTCTCTCTCTCTCTCTCTCGTTTAATGTCTTTGGGCATCACTGTCTGCAGCGCATCGCGGTTTCGCGGGGAAAGTGCATGGCAACAGCTGCTGTTAGAAAACAGAACAACATACATAAGCACGCGACACGTTTCCTTCATATATCCATCACTCCACATTACAAAAAGTGTTTCTTACACAACCCATCAGCTGCACGACCTTGTGTGTTTCATGACCAGCAAACCCTGAACCGGTTTCGTCACACAATGTCTCATCAGGAAGGCTCGGTTGAATCAATATTTATCAACTTTCGATCTTGTAGGCAAGGACCATCTCTTTACGATATGGGGTGCAAAACGATGCAGTAATGTTTAACTTAAAATAATCACGAGCGTCATTATGGAGAATATAAATAACAAAATAATAAGCATAACAATAGGTTTTACCCTCTCTGGCAATAAGGCAGGTGTCAAGATGTTACAACACCAAACAGAATCCTTATTCAAGGAATCCTGTCTGCATTAACCACACGTACTTGTGGTGAACATGCAAACAAAAAACGTGCTCTGACAATTATATATGCATTGTCTTTTAAACTGATTGGTCCACACCAGAGACAGCTGTATGTTTTATTTCCAGAAAGGATTAAACCTATTGTTATATTTCAATAATGGAAAAAAAGGTCCCATAAAATAATAAGCAGTCAGTGTCTCCTGCTCCACGTAAAAATAATGAAAGTATCTCTTACACAACTCATTAGTAACCAGTCCAGAGTTGACTGAATTTGCATTGAAACAATGCGAGTGAAACTATGCCCGCTCAGAAGGCCGTGTGGCTGATGTGTTCCTTGACAGTGATATACTTATTAGGTAGCATTGTACAGTGATTAGGAAAAATCTAAGAGAATGCTCCGTAAAGTTTGCTATATATTTTTTTCTAAGTCACTTTACTGAGTGAGAAGGTAATAATGATTTGCGGTCCTGTGCAGCCTATAATCAGCCGTTTGAAGTTATTATTATGCTTGTTTGGGTAGAAAAGTCTGAGATTCCAGACTTTTTTGAGGGACCTGATTGTCGCTGTAGGGGACGGTAATTGCCACATACAGTCCAATTGAGTTTTGGACCATGACACCAGTACTGTAAGACACAATGTTCTAATCTTGCGAATGACGCGATATGATCTTTAAACTTGCCACTCTATTTGAACCGTGAACCGCTGCAAGAAGCGGTGAACGCGCCATCATATAGCGTCACCCTCAAGAGCGATGAGGCACTTGGGCTTCCTGCTGCCATCGCAGGCCACGTGCCACTCCCCTCAGCGCTCCAGGAAGGGAGCGCCTCCCTTGATGGATCCATTTTGCGTGCCACAGTCGCCCCTTTACTGACTTTAAAATGGCCCGAGGGCATCACGTGATTGATGATTTTCATTTGTGTGTCTACCTTGGAGGGAAGGCCAGGCATACCATCATAGTAGGCAGCTAAATTATTACATGTTATGTACAGAGTCATGCAAGGACACAAATAAATTAAATTGAATTATTTACAATGTGCTTTGTTTGACCAATGCAAAAGGCCATTGCGATTTATTATATTTTTTGCAATGTAGATGTGAAAAAACACCAATATGAAATGGTTACATTTGTTATTCATTAATTTTTTTTAAAATTACAAGTTCAAATTTGAAATGTATACGTACTCACCAAGGGGCAACCGCCTATTGCAATGCAAAAGATAATTCTGTACTATTTAGCCGTAATACGGCCCAACAGGCCCAGACTATGTCCCCGGCAGAGTCTTGCCAATGCCATCATGGCAACCACGGTGGCATTTGTTTAAAATGCCACGCTCTGTTTAAAATGCCACGCTCTGCTGATGAGACTTAGACAGTTGAAACCAGTCTGAAAGTTTGCATTTTTATATGCTTGCAATTTGCATTTGTAAATGCTTGCTGGAAAACGTTGGCGCAATGGGGTCCATTAATTAAACGAATTTTCTTTTGTTAATCTATTACTGTTATTTTACGATTTAAATTTTATTCATTCAATATGAAGGCTTTTTTTACCATGTAATTCTTGCTGTTTTTAACGCATTTGTATTCCCACTGTGCCGTCAGCGTCATTATATGGGACTGAGGATCGATTTTGAACTCTCTTCACCCTGCGTTGGCGAGTTCACAGAACTATTTCTGAGATCGCTCTTCATGTGACCTTTATTATGCACAAGCTGAGCAGAGCAGTTTCCCACGTTTTCTGACAGTCAAACTTACACATACATGTATATTTTTTGAAACTCAAAGCTGGAAATTAAGATAAAAAGCTAATTTCATGAGATTTATTTTCTGCTGTGCAGTCATTGGTGACCTACCAGAGAGGCTCACTTTAATCATGGGTGGCTGTCCAGATTTCAACCAAGAATATCAGTGGTGCCACCTAACTTACTGTGATTCCAACACGCCTCTGTGAAGTAACGGAAACATTCGAGTAGGGCAACTAACTAACTTAACTTACTGTGATTCCAACACGCCTCTGTGAAGTAACGGAAACATTCGAGTAGGGCAAGGAAACGCAAACGTACCCGTGTGTTCTGAAATATTCACAGTCATGTATTTAATCTTGATTTTAAGCTTCCGTGACTGTAGGAATTCATACTCTTTGGTTCTTTCTGTAAAGTCACGTAGATAGAAAATTAATAGATCACGACGTTTCGAACGCAACACAAGCGACCGTCTTCAGGTGAGAGAGAGAAAGCTACAAAAACAAGGTCTTCACATGGATGCAGCCTCAGGGTGAGAGGGCGGGGCTAGAGATGGTCTCCCTGAGGCTGTGGAAGTGGCTATTGTATTGTGAGAGATTAGCATGTCAATGCACGAGCTTAGTATGTCGCAGCATCGGTGACTGAGCGAGAAGGACATCCAGCCCGTCAATACAAAGACATCCAACCTAATAATGCAACTCCGAGAGTCAGATAAAACAACCATCTGAGGATCCAAATCAAAACCATCACCTTGCCATACATAGCAGGGGTTACCAAAAATATTTCCAAAATTTTAAACAAACACAAGATCCAGGTTCGTTTCAACACAGTACACAAAATCCGTGATATGATCCCATCTGCAAAGGATGTGATTCCTGACATGCAGTATCCTGGTGTCTACAAACTAAGTTGTGGCTGCGGCAGCAGTAACATTGGGGAAACGAAACGACATTTCTCGGACCGTGTTCGCGAACACAAGGCAGATCTGAAGCAGGACCAATACCTCTGCCGTTGCTGATCAATATTTTAACGCTGTGGGCACACACGAAATAGATTTTTCCAAGACGAAGGTACTCTGCAAACCCACTGGCCATCATCAGAGATTTGTTCATGAAGCCATCCAGATATATAAACACAGACACAACTTCAATCGAGAAGATGGGTACAAATTGAGCAAGCATTGAAAGGACGTGATTAACCAGGTAAAGTCTTAACCTGCTGACTCTCTGAGTTGCATTATTAGGTTGGATATCTTTGTATTGACGGGCTGGATGTCCTTCACGCTCAGTCACCGATGCTGCGACATACTAAGCTCGTGCATTGACATGCTAATCTCTCACAATACAATAGCCACTTCCACAGCCTCAGGGAGACCATCTCTCGCCCCGCCCTCTCACCCTGAGGCTGCATCCATGTCAAGACCTTGTTTTAGTAGCTTTCTCTCTCTCACCTGAAGACGGTCGCTTGTGTTGCGATCGAAACGTCGTGATCTATAATGTTCTATCTACGTGACTTTGCCGAAAGAACCAAAGAGTATAGTCATGTATGTGCAGGCTGCTGCGGGTGTGTTGAGGGAAAGGCCTCACATTGCATCTCGCTGCGATTCCTACAAGGATGAAGTGTATAAAGCTGCATGCTCAATGGCGCAAGTCACGTGTCGCTCCTCTCAAATAGAGCGTAATTTAGTGGTCGTCTCGTCACGCAATGGGCACGCGCACGTGATGGAGATTCCAATCTTTCTGAGGGACAACCCCACACATTCGTTTAAATGTTATTGACGTCTTCTTCTTCTTCTTCATTATATGTCCCATAATCTCTTCTAGGTGACCACAGTCACACACCGGAGAGTTTTTTTAATTTTCCATTTGCAGTATCCGCATCAGCTGCCATGGTGTGTGTAGTGGATGCAGTTTAGGGTCGTGGCCCAAAAGCTCTGCGGAAGATCGACGCTAGAGATTTTTCACGAGGTGTTTGTGCCTTTTTGTTCATCATCACCACTCCGTGTTGATGGACTCCAGCTCGAAGTAGGATTTCAACTTCCATTTGTGAATCAAGCGTTCCGCCCCTGTGGTTATCCATCCTTGTGCGTTCCCAAAGAGGACGCTAATAACGTGACGCAGCACTCACCGCCAGTTGACGGCATTCAATTGTGATTAAAAAAAAACTAACAGCAGAGGCGCACGGGAATTGAAAACGTGTCGTTAATGTGATCAGTTTCACAGCAAGGATGAGTCATTCAATTTTTTCGGGACCGCAATAATTCTAAGACACAGCTCGGTCCGTGTCACACCGTGAAACGCGCTGCAATGTTCCCACGAAGCCCTCGGTGAATTTACACATTTATCACTCTGCCTTATTCACCAAAGTAGCACGCGCGGAGGGCCATGTGTTGCGCTGAATATAAACGGGCTGTCAGGCGAGGCTGCCGGGGAACAGGCGCTGGCGCCGCGGGTTATTGTTCTCCTCCCGTAATTCATCGTCCGAGTTGCGACCGCGCGCGTGCGCGTGGCCCGTGCGAGCACGCGCACGCGCGATTGCTGTGAATGCAACCACGCAGCGCGTCTGGGCCCCATCGACCGGCGAGCTCTGGCAGGTGGGGACCAAGATGTTTGCGTACAAAAAAATAATTAATTCGGCCTCGTTTGAAGACATACTTTACGGCGTATGTCAGGCTGGGTGGCTTCAACGACGCGAGTGTCTCCTGCATCAAATGGGGTGGTGCGCTCATCTCCATTGGCAGCCTTGAGCCACCGTTTCCCGCAAAGTGACTTCGGGGGTGGGGGTCATGATTGTTACCCGTTCATAATTAGTATGGACAGCGCATATGTCAGTTGGGTCTCCTCAGCACTACTTTTACTCTGTAAATAGCAGGAGTGATTTTATGCTGTAGTCCAAAACGCCCGTTGGCCAGGATATGTGACTTTTGTAGTGTGACGCTTTCATGCACGATCTTTCTCCTTGGTTTGTTGAATTCAACAGTGTTGACCATTGCAATGGGATGATTAGCCAAGTTGGGTGCAGTGAATCAGCACCTCTGACATGAGTGAAATCAGGTTCTCAAGTGGAGTGGTCTTAGTCTGGTAACCACAAATGCTAATTTTGGTATCCACCTAAAGTGCACCTTCTAAGGTCTGATAAATGTTTTTGGCATACAGAAAAAGAGAACCCCCCACCCCACACACACACAGAGCTCTGCCTCGAGGTTGTGGTAAGACAAACCATTGAAGGATGTCGAGCTGAGTCCATTGATGTCACTTCCAAGAAATGTTTTCAACATGGCTTGTCTCTCGTGTTAGTTCAAGATGGGGAATTCTTCACCCTGCATTGCAAGTCCATCATGCAAAAGAGATGTAATATTTGTGAACAATACGAATACCAAAACATCACAATCCAGACAGATATTGTAAGCGTTGTGACAGTATCCATAATAGGAAGGTGACTGTATGTATCACGTTTCCCGATTCTTTATACAGTACAGGATATCTCTCGGTAGAAATAAATTAATGTTGACTGGGTATTTCGCACAAAATCCGCATGAAATATAATATTTCGCCCACTTAAAAAAATAAAGTTGGTGCAGTAGCAAGTTTCATCGAACACCTTTTACATCAAATGTTAGCTGTGTGGGTCAATTCCTGTTTTGGATTAAGAGTCAAGTCGGTGCCTTCACGCTCGGTGCCTCGGTGTTTGTTGCCTTCATGTTCAGCCAGCAGGGAAGATTCCACAGTCTATGGCTATAAGCTATTAATAATATAGATTTACGAAACATCCCAATGCAGAACTCTCCTCAGAAGGAATCTTGACACTCAATGCGACTTATGCAATAATTGCATCCTTACCCATGCGGTATCGATAGTTCAATTTTAATTAGCAATTTTATTGGGGTACCATATGTTGTCTCGGTGTGGTCTGGGACGGTTTTTTGCTGTTGTTTTGTTGCCTTGCCAAAGCTTGGGAATTGATGTACGTATGCAATTTAAATTTATATAATGAATCAATTTAATTAATACATTTTTCGTGTTTTCTTACCTTTCCTACACATTACACTATCTTTTTTGTATCGCTTGTTGTCCGTAACGTTCTGACCCGACTCTACTGGAGATATGTGTAAAAAAAGAGCTTCATAGCTCATCGGATTTCTCCAGGATAAATAAAGATTGATTCTGACTTTACCTTGATTAAATAACGGTTAAATATGGACACTCTGTGAAGCGATGGTCTCTCAGTGCCCTGGCCCCTATGGGCTGAGAACGGGGCAATGGCTGAGACCTTGGTCTTGATATCTGCCCCCAGGTGTTCTTCGTGTTCCTGCTCAGCATCGGCACCCTCGTGATCTACTTCATCGACTCCTCCGAGTGAGTAACTCGCACCCAAACTTTGTCCCCGTCTCAGCGTGAGCAAAATCAACTCGAAATAGAAGAGCACGAATCACCGAAATTGGGACAGTGGACCCCTCACCACCATCATTATCATCATCATAACTGTTATTATCCGTCATAATGTAAGTGTCACCGCTATCAGCACTAACGTGTGAACAGCAACAGCATTATCATCATCCAGGCCACCGGGTTAGTGGCTTGAATATTGAATCCCATTTGGTGCCCACAATAATATTTTTTGGTGATGGCACGTCAAATTATGAAAAATAAGAATAGGTTTACTCTTTCTGGCAATAACGCAGGTGTTAAGATGTTCAAAGACAAAATAGATACTTTTCAAGTCTGCATTAACCACACGTACTGGTGGCAAAATATGCATTACAAACATGCTCTACCAAAATATGTCTTTGAAACTGATTGGCCTACACCAGAGACAGCCATCTTCATGGCTTTGTCTCACCAGTGTCAGACCAGAGAACACCAAAATATGAACAACACATTAAAGAGTTCTGAAATGGGAAATACTTGCCTTTTGTATAATTATCAGCTAGAGGATCAAATGTAAATGAAAGTATTTTTTATTTTATTTTACCAGGTAAGACTCACTGAGCTATATAGATATTTTTCAGAAGTGACCTGGCCACAAATGATAGCTATACGAAGTGGCTTATCATGCGGAAATTTACAGCAGCCAAATACTCTAAAAATATGTTTTTAAATGTGCGGGAAAAAAACGGAGGACCCGGGGAGAGAGACACACAAATTCTAAATATACGGCAGGCGTCAGTCTTGTGATTGAACCCATGACCTCCTGTACACCAGGCAAGGTAGTAAACATCTTGCCACCGTGGCGCTTCATGTTGTTGTGGCGTCTTGTAGATATACGCGTTGTGGCTTCATCTTTGCCATGATTGTAATGACATTTGATTGCTGTATATCTGTTGAGAAATTGTATATGCTTTTGCCAGAATACAGCCATTTGGATGCCATATCGTGCTGCTTGCAGTGCGATTTCGGTTGTGGCACATGGTCCATGTGCAATCACAGATATGGGGAAATTTTTGTTCATGATAATTAATGAAAACGAAACAACGGTCAAAATAAGACGTTGTGAGTAAACTTAGTTGATGCCCACGCTGGACGTTCCAGTTCATTATGGTAAAATTACAATAAACAAAGATCATTCGTAAAGCCTTAACAGACTGTCGGGGCAAGTGCTGTTAGCGAGCACCTATGAAGGCCGGCACGGCACACGAGAGGGTGGGTGGCCAACACCACGCCCGGCCGCCTTTGTCTCTCCAGTGGTGATGTTTTACATGCCTCACCAGGTACTCATTTGAGGCTGAGTCGACTTAGGGGAGGCCCAGGAAACGGTTCAGATAATCGTCACCGGTGTTGGCCGTGAGCGGGATTCGAACTCGGGATGCTGGGTTCATAGCGCAGCTTAGCGCTGACCGCTACACTGCCGCTCCGCACTAACCGCAATAATTACACACGTGGTCAGACATGCAGTGTTCCGGAGCATTTTAATGATCTTAAATTAACTTTTCAGTGAAATGTATTTGTACATTAATCAAGATGTTTGATTCGCGGCCCTAAATTAGTACTTTTCATAAGCTGTATGGATTCAGTAAATCTCGCATAGATTCAATCTGTAATTAGGTGTATATTTTAATGACGTTTCAGGCAGTAGCCTATAGCCTATGCATCTTGCCTGGCACATACTGTACCTGCTGTAATTTAGAGCCAGATATAAAAAAAACACTTTGATGGAATTGGCCAATAATGGGCAGTGACATTTCAATTGAACTGTGTGCATGATGTGATCTGGAAGCATTTTCCGCCTGATTATCTCGAAGGATGTGGATATGAACATGGTTACAGTGACCGACCCACGAGAGATTGTGACATTAAAACCCAGCGGAGGATCAACTCGGCGCTTTAATCGATACAAATTCGATCAAATGAGTACCACTTTGTAGGAAGTCAACAGTGGTCGGTCTGCCTTTGGAGAAACCCGCCTCGACCTAAGGAATTCATTTCCCACCGGTGGCTGATGTCCGCCAAATGAAGACGAGTACTTACCCGTGCTCGTTTTGAGCGGGGGAAATTATTTTTGTTTTGTCTTGACATTTAAATGAATTATAGCGTCGCCTAACAATAATAATACTACTACTACATCTCTTTGGAAAGGTCGATATTGAATGTTCAATGCAGCATAGAGAGACACCAGCGCAGAGTGAAAACAGCTGCCGTTTAGAATAGGCTGCCCATCCCTGCGGCAGAGCCTCGTCGTGCACTTACATCGACCGTGAGATCCCCCCTTTCATCGGGATCAAGGTCATGGAAACCAAGCTGTGCTGTAATAGAAGCATTAACAGGTTTTCGCTTATCGGAGCGAGCGATCCGATGGGTTTATGCACGTTTAATGAAAAGACACGCGCTTTGTCCGCCGCTGTCTTTGTGATGCTACGCCGGGGGTTCACCTCTGTAAAATTTAATCCCTGAAGCAGAACGCGCCACCCAGGTTGTATCCGTTTGTATCGGGCAGGGCTCTCCGTCCTTAAGCACCAACATCATGACGGTCTATACAATGTACCGATTGTGCCGAAGGTTGGCTCGGTGACCGCTGCTAGACGCGACTGCGGGATTTCCCGCACCGTCAGAGCACTCGTGCGCGCGCTGACCCGCCGCTTTGTAAGCGTAGCAGCGGCAAGGGGGCGCGGGAAACGCGTACGCGTGCAGGACCGCCACCGTGGAGACACACACAGGGGCAGACCGATATCGGACAGCTGCGCGGCTATTGCTAAATTGACACCCGTCGTCACGTGGGATTCAATAGGGGGAAGTGATGACGGCGTGTCGTTGGCATCGGTAGGATTGGTTCGTAATGCCCTCTGGAATTGAATGCTGTGTCTGGCATGAGGAGGCACTGTGGTGTTTTTGCATGTGAAGGTGAATCCGGCCTGGTGGTGAGCTGAACAACTGGAGGGAGCTGTGCATTTATTTTCCATTGCCCCCGATGGGAAATAAGGACGCAGGAGACAGGATGGGATGACAGTTTCTGGACGACACCATTTTTTTTTCTCAAACCTGTTTGATTATAAACATTAGCTTAACTGCTCAACAGAAATCATTTCCAAATTGATTTAAAGTGCATCCCAGCATTGATTGGAAGTAATTCCACAGGTAGTTAAATAGACGCACCGTTCCGTTGGGACGGGGCATGTCGATGAGACATTTCCGTATCGCGCGCCTCATGAGTGTTTCCATTGCCAAATTCAACTTTCCTAATTCACCCTCATCGGTTGGATGAGTTGCTCAGAGTCAGTTGTTGAGTCGATGAGACTCGTGAAATTCCATTAGGGTGCTTGTGGAGGAATAATTAACAAGTCTGATTTATGATGTTTCCTCAGAGTGTTCTTGCTGATATCCGTTCAGTTTGATTATAAACATGAGCTTTGTTTTTAACTGATAGTCGGCGCTCGCTGGAGTCACAGGTGGCGCTCGGTAAATTAAATCCGCCATTACAGTTGTCACCGTCTTTGTTATTGCATTGGTCCGTAGATTTAAAGTTTGAATGTCTCTGTCTTTCCCCGTGGCCGCGTAGATTTCTTTCTCCGCGTCCTCCGGTTTTTCCCTTAACTTTTAGAAACTTGCGTCCAGATCATTTCGATTAATATGCTGCTGTAAATTTCCACACGAGTCACTTCGTTCAGCTATCATTTGTGGCCAGGTTGCTTCTGAAAAAAGAAGCTACTAGCTGAGTGGGCTTTACCTGGTAAGATTAAAAAAAAGTTTAGTTTTATTTGTATATTTTTTTAAAGTGATTTGATTACCTTTCCTATACTTTACACTCCAAACGTGTTTTTATATTGTTTGTTGTTGTAACGTTCTGACCAGCCTCTACTTGAACATCTGTGAAAAATAGCTTTATAGCTCATTGGATTCCTCCAGCATAATACATATTCTGATTCTAACTCCATATACAGTTCTGTGTTTATATTTGTATTTAGATTTTTGAGCCAGCTGGTCCGAACTGGGCAAAGGGCATCATTCACTTTTCACCCAGCAAAACCGGGAAGCACAGACTTTAGATCCATAATAGAGGGGTTTTTTTTGTTAGATCGCATAAATATACATGTCGTTAAACCCGCCACTACCCGACACAGCCAACTAGTAAGGGTTGTCACGTAAACAGAACATGCCAATTTGTTACTAGTACAGCAGACCGGTGTGTTGGAGAGCTAAGCCACAACATTTACAATTCGAGTACGACGTTTTGCCAGTAATTACAACTAGATTCATCAGGCGACAGCCAGAGTTGGTCGTGAAAGCCTACATGTTAAACTGACAGACTTTAGATATTCACATATTTAAGAATGTACAATGAAACTAAATAAAGATATATATTTACATAAACAAGAAAAATAGAGGTACAAAATATGATAAACTTTAAATCTTCTCTATGGGCCTCATACTGTCTGGGGCATACTGAGAGATGAACCAGTTCTGATAGAAAACAGGATATCTTGAATATGACAAATAGTCTAGTAATGACAATTAATATTATCATCATCATATCCTAATGATTACAGTGTTGTCATGTTATGAAATTCATGACAATGTTAATCGAAATTATTCTAATTTTGTGAATAATTAACGCATAATTGTTTGTTTTCATCACATACATCATATTTGATATCATCGGAATACTCATAACCTGTGTCGCAATTGTCTTGGGTCATTCATGTGTCACTCGCTCGGTATTACTGCTGTCAATACTCTAACGTGATTTATGAGGCTTTTAAATAACAATTATCAGGCTTTTAAAGAACAATTATGCTGTCATTACCAAGTACATTGAAGGCGCTTGTTTATTTATTTACTAGTGTTACATTATACTCGACCACACAGAGTACTATCACGCTTGCTGATTAATCAAGCTTGTTATTTTTCCCCCTCTTCTCTCCGTGTTATCATCTGGACATCTCGACTAATTAGCCCTACCAGGTGCGTATGTTGTCGAGGTATCTCTTTCTCTCAACACTTTGGAAAATAAAGAATGCAACACCTTCATTAATACCTCTGTGGCCTTAAAAGGGAAGAAAAACATTACAATGGGCGACGTTTTCTAGTTACCGTATTTTTTTTACAGTCGTCGTGTATTTGTATTTATTTAGTTGTGCCGTGAAAAAAAACAACCATTGCCTCAAGCGTTTCCTTCTATACATTTGTCCCTTTAAAAGCCACGCAGTGGGGTATGTTTTAATTGATAAATGTGTGTGTATTTTTGTTAATTGCATTTGTTCCATCACTGACAAACGCAGCAGCATCACCAAATAATGTGTTTAGTTTTTTTTCAATGTAAAGAGACTCATTTGATTGCAGTTGTCGGGGGGTGGGATTACAGCTGGGTTGAAGCGAGCTGTGATTCACTGCCCTGGCTGCTCTCGAAATTCGGTTTAAATCAAATGTCTCCCGATCGGTGGACAGATTGTCACGGTGCGTGCGCCCCTGCGGTATTGTGTGTGCCCTTCTCAGCCCCATAGAGCTGTGCCAGTATTTCAACACGAACATAGCGCTGCAGATCGATATGGGCCTCAACGTGTTCTTCCTCCTCTACTTCGGGCTGCGGGTGAGGAGATCGCCTCGTTCTTGCGTTGTCCAAGCGTTACTGCGTGCGCCGATTGATAGCAACGCTGGCAACCGCGGCAGGGGCACCTGTCTCAAAAGCCAAACGGTTATCGGTTCAAATCCCAGTTTCCGAGATCTCGAATTCAGGAATGATGATTGGTATTTCAAGAATATCAACTTGTAATGCACCGCACAGTAATGACTCTGAGGCGCCAAGAACCACAGACAAGCGGGATGACAGCAGCCATCCTGATTGTCAATAATTACTCAAGCTCTGCAGTCCTCAATATTTTAAGGTGTCATTGGCCAATTAATGAGTGTTTATACATGCGGGAAGAAACCAGAGCACCTGGAGAAAACCCATGCATGCGAGGGGGCAACACTCTATCCCATGCAGAAGGGATGGATGATATTCGTCCGCATTTTGCTGTACCTTCATTCTGAATAATTATTGGTTTCTTTTTGGTTAGGTCATCGTGTGAAAGTGTGCATCGTAAACCATCCTCAACCTGACACAGCCAACGCATAAAAGTGTCACTTGAATCAAATGTGCGAAATGTATTACTGCTTCAGCAGGACCACCGGTGTTGTTGTCGTCGTAGCGGAGGAATCTCTTAAATGGCTGCCAACATTCGCTGTAGGTTACATCCAGCATCATCAGGTTAACAGGAGCTCAGGTGTAGTGGCGGTGAGTTTCGCAACGTTTGTGTGATCCACCAACCCTCGCCTCCACAGTGATGGATCACAGCCATGCACCACCACTGCCTGGCGACAGAGATCTTCGTTGGGTGGTATTTTTTGCGATTGGTGCTCACTCGAGGCAAACGGTTGGTGAGTCTTACATTGGTAATGACTCCGACGACAAAGGAATAACAAGGGCCACATTTATTTAAAGACTTCCACAATAAGGAACCCGACTAAAGACTTCCACAGTAAGGGACCCTAGGCTTCGTTCTTGTCTTCCGTGCTTGTATCTTCCTCCGAGCGTCCCCAATCCTCGTGCTCTCCCCTTAACTATCCCTCAGCACCCTTTCTCGAACCTTCTTGTCGTTGCTTTTTTTCCTTTAGCCAATCCCTGTCCATTCCCTTTAACGGATCCTTTCTGTTTTCCCGTTTTCTCGTTCAACCCTTATTCCTCCAATCCCTTTAAAAGTCTGCCTCCCGACCAATCACCGTGGAGGCCTCTTTCTTCCAATCGGAGACCTTTGTTTATTTTTAAATAGCCTTTAGGCTGTATATGGCTTGGGGTAATTGTTCGGTTATTACAAATTGTAGCTGCGGAATAGAGGAGGGTAGCGTATGAGTGTCTCAAGAGGCACAGCTCTGCAGTCCAGGGTTGAGTGAATATGATTGGTGACTTTGTGGGAAGTCGACAATGGCTGTTCTGTGGAAGTGACTTGTTGCTTTCATAGGAATCTGGAATACTCACTTCTTGTTCAAGAATGCCTATGCAGATGAGCGTGACCCAGTACTTGTGTTGAGATTAGTGATCACCACGGTGCCACTCTGTTCTTAAATTCTGATCACCATCTCGTCATTGCATGAAAAGAATGCCAAGGGATTTCACTCTTCCTACACTGCTCAGGGCTTTCAAAACCCAGATTGGACCACTCATTGCAGGATTATAATTAATGTGTAGTAAGTTTGTCATTATGTAAAAAACAAAACTAAAAAATGTCCAGCCATTCTCAATCAACCAATGTATATTAAACTCGGTCTTCTATATAACAATTCTCACAAGGCCTCAAAGCGCTTTGCATGAAGCTTAAGTTACTGAAAAAGCCTGCGTGTAAAAACAGGTGAGTTTTAAGACGCAATTAAAAAAAAAGTGTAACAGACTCAGATTCCCTAATGGACCGAGAAAAATAATTCCAGAATCGCAGAACCTGGCTGTAAAAAGCTCCGTCTTCTCCCATAGACAACAAAGTCTGGTCTGACTCCATATACATCAGCAGATCTAAGTTTACGCAGTGGAATATACAACTTAAACAAATCGGTCAGATATTTAGGAGCCAGCTCGTCAAAGGCTTTAAACGTGAGAAGAAGAATCGTAAAGTCGATTCTGTACTTTATAGGGAGTGAGTGCAGGGAGGAAAAAATAGGAGTGATATGATCACATGATTGAGATCTTTGTGAAAACCAGGCAGCTGAGTTTTTAATATATCTTGTAGTCTTTTAAAACACTTCTATAAACGCCAGGAAGCAAGGCATTGTAGTTATCCAACCTTGATGAAATAAAGGCATGCACCAGCCTCTCAATATTAGGGAAGGGACAGCATGGGGGTCTAAGTTGAGATATATTGCGTAAATGGAAAAACGAGATTTTGGTAATGTTATGTACGTTGGCCTGTCAACCTGGGGTCCAGAATAACACCCAAATTTCTGACCTCACAGGAAGACTGAATTACTGTCCTCTCTTTAACCGTCCTTAAACCATCTAATTTACGCATTGGATGAAGGTCTCCCCACGTCATGTTTGTCAAAGGATATATTTACTTTACGATACTTCACTACAAAAACCAGTGTGTATTGAATAATGGAGGGAGGGCAGGAACTTTTTCAGATATGTACGTATGTTGAACTTCTTTCGTACGTAGCCAACCGTGCGAATTGGAGATATCACTTGGCACTGATGTTAGCGATGGCAAGAAATTGAACCCGAGTCGCCGGGATCATTGTGCAGCGTGCTGACCACCGCTGGACCCAGTTATGTTCGTACGTACATGCTAGGGTTGCAACACTATACGATCCGATATAAAATTTCACAACGTGACAATTATTGCAAGATTAGTTTGCTAAAACTTTGTGATGGTGTATTTTGTATTTTTATTAAATTGTTTTTGTTTGCTTTTTTTATTTTCAGTGCTAATAACTATGTAACTTAATAGTTCACTCTATATAAGCCAGCGATAAGTCTTCTCATAATTGCAACTTTACAAAATGTAATGGTTATAATAAACGTGCTGGTTATGATATGATACGTAATTAAATTATCTGCGTAAATTATGATCCCATATAATTTCCGGGGTATAACTCATGCTAATATTAATGTAAAACTAATTATTACTTTAACTCATAAATATTTTTTGTCAGCAAATTTAAAATGAAATAAAATTAACAATGATTATAATGGATATAGCGTTGTTATATAAAACGAACGATATGAAAACTGTGAGCAATGTATCATTGTATATCGTACATACTGCAGTGAACATTTTAACAGATCATTTGTGTAAGTTTTCGTGATGGACCCAGGCTGAGAGCGGCATTGGCCATCGCTCCATCGCAGGCGTGGCGGACGAGAGTTAAAACTGAAAATGCCCGTGGCTAAATTGAGACAGAATAATCATTTTAACGTGGAATTAAATCAGTCGCATCCTGCGTGTATGACAAATAGACGGCACAGACTACGGCGCTAATAACGCCTCTGCCTCAAATGTATTTGTGCTTAATTGCTGATCAGTGATCGTCGGCGAAATACGATTTTTGCACTGTGCCACCCAGACGCAAAACAAAGAGTAGCCACATCACGAAAACAGGACAGACGTTATTCAACATTACGCCTGTTGCAGGGGCTGTGCTCATTGTTTTTTTTATTTCGTGCTCCCTTTGTTTGCGGGCAGTTCATCGCAGCAAACGACAAACTGTGGTTCTGGCTGGAGGTCAACTCCATTGTGGATTTCTTCACGGTGCCCCCAGTGTTCGTGTCTGTCTACCTCAACCGCGGCTGGCTGGGTGAGTCCCCACGTCCCCTGCACCCTGAAGCCGCCTTGTGGCCCTGAGGCCATGTGCGTTGATTTGTGTGCACGGGGTGCCTGTATGCATTACTTACTCCTCCTCGCTCCCTGCGGAGCACAAGGCCTCAACAAGCCCACGCCATGCCGGACGGTCTTTAGCAGCTGCCTGCATGTATGTTGAACTTCTTTCACACCGTACGTAGCCAACCGTGCTAATAATTGGAGGTGCTGCGAAGGACGACAAACTCAACACGAAAACCAGTTCTAAAGAAATGAGTTTTCTATTAGGCAGTACAGCAAGTCGTTTTATGAACAAGAGTGTCCGTGTAACTTTGAGATTTATTATTATAATTATTATCATTTTCAAAACGGAGTTTTATTCTGTCATTACTGTGACTTTTCTCCTGACTATGCAAAAATAATATAATTCAAACATTGCAAAATGGGACCTATCCTGGAAGAGATTTTTTCAGAATTTTATGGATATTGTCATCCAGTATATATTGTTCACGATAGTGATAATAACTGTGCTATTACCTCAGCGATTTTGGCATCGTAATACATCCTTTGATAACATTCGCTCACGAGTCAAATTTGTGAGCTATTGATAAGTAGTTTTGTAATTTTATCTGTGTGTACTGTATTGTAAATCAATTATGTATACATTTGTTTAGTATACATTTCAATAACGACCCAGTATGTTGTGAGGGTCTTCTCTATTCCCTCCGACCAACCACAGTAGCATTTCAATCTCAAACCACCCTTCTGTATAACTTGTTAAAATAAGTTTCACTCCAGAAAATGTCTGGCAACACATGCCCACTGGGGTAAAGTAAAAGAATCATGATTCATCCTTTGTTGTTTTTTTTCCCATTATAAAGTGTGATGTTGTTCATAAAAACCCGACAGGTTTATGAGAATGTGAATTATTGTTAGCCAAGGCAATGTCCACTGTGAATAGGCCTCATTATTGCTGTGAAGACAGCTCTTTTAGAGGTCTGAGTTCTTTGTTGCAGTAGGCATTTATCAGGAGTGGTGTGGCAAATAGATGACAATGTATCAAGTAGGTTTCACGTATAGCTTTTTTTAGGATGAGCACATTGTGTGTGTGTGGGTCTTCTCTGGATGCAGTATTTCACTTACCCACTTATCTTGCTTTGACACATGAATTGTATTCTACCCTCACTGATTACAATGCTTTCACTGCAATACTGGGTGCTTAATTTATCCTGAGTAATCTTTTGTACAAGGACTGAAAAGGGTGTTACAATATTAATATTGGGACACAGTGGGCACAGCTTATATGTCTAAAGCACAGACTTGGATGTGAGGTTGGTGAATCTTGAAGGGGTATTATGTATGTGTGTGTTGAACTTCTTTCGCACCGTACATAGCCAACTGCTAATCGGAAGTGCGGGGAAATAACAACAAACTAAACAAAAAGCAGTTCTAAAAAAAATAGTTTTTCAATCTAGATTTTAAAAATGCATATGTTCAGTGGCTTCCTTAGATATCTGAAGGAAGAGTGTTCCAGATGGCCACAGAAGCGCATCTGAAAGCATTCCTTTGTTTGACGGTTAACGAAAAGCCACTGCCAGGATGACGGGAGGTTGCCTGGTGATTCCTGCTCCTTGACAAGATCAGCAAGGTGTTGTGGTTCATTTGTAGCAAGTACCTTGCGTGTGATGAGTGCGACCTTATAATGTATTGGTTCGCCAAACTGGAAGCCAATGCAGCTCAGCGAGCAATGGGCGGACATGGTCGAATCTTGCAGTACCTGTCACGACACGTGCCAGAGAATGTTGTACCCTGAATCACCAGTTTTAAATCACGATGTGCGTTGGCCACCTCCTGGAAAATGAGCTGTCTATTGTTTCGGCTCTCTATTTGCTGTTTTTGAGTCTACAGTAATACCTCGATATGTCAATATTGGACATACGAAGTTTCAGTAGAAGAACTTTGGATTTATCACAATTATTTTAATGGTAAAAATAAGCAAACGCTGAAATCACTAAATAAATAATAATATTTTCGACCTCCGGTACTATTATTTATGTAAGTTTTTTAATCTCTTTTAATACTGTACAGTATAAATATATTGTTATTTTCAATATAAAGTGTCTTTGTTTACAATGTGAATAGTATGATATAGCAAGTTACGAAGGCTGGAAACGTTTCCTCATATCATTAATGTTTTACGTTATTCAGTATGGCAGGCCACAAACCAACGAGTTGAAATAAATTGGAAGGAAAAAAACTCAATAAAATTCCCCATAATGTGATGGAGTTTTTTTCTGGGCAGTAATTGGTGATTGGTCTGAGGCCATTAACTAATTGTACGTGACCACTCAGAGTTCCCCAGCCTTCTCAAAAACGTTGTTTTACGCTACACTTCGTCTATCTAGTTAAAAAAAAGATATGTCTTAAATGTTACACGTGTAGACCTGCAAAGAAATAACAAGGGCGTGGTATCCCACTTATATGTTGAATATGACAACTACTCTACTGGCATTTTTAATCATAGCTGTAAAATAACAATGTACTGGGACCGTGACAGATATATGAAGGTGCTTGGCAGTGACTGAAGAAAGATGACATCAGAATCAGAATATGTATATATATACTGGAGGAATCCGATGAGCGATAAAGCTCTTTCACAGATGCCCAGTAGGGGCATGGGGTAAGAATATTACAACAACAAACAATACAACAACACGATAGTAGTGCAAAGTACAGGAAAAGCAAACACATTACCCAAAACAGATACAAACACAACTAAACCATTCACATCCTACCCGGCAAATCCCAATGAGGTTAGGATATCCCAAATAAATTTGTGATTGTCGTAATTACCCAGTATTTTTGTTTGTTTGTTATCGAAAACGTATGGCCCTGAAGTTGAACGAAGCAAGGGACCGCGTGGACTACGCATCACATTATTTCTGTATTGACCGCTGGTGATGGCTCAGGTGTAAATGTGTGTGTGGCTCAGCATGATAGATGAGCTCCTGAGCCTGCCCTTTGAGCCCACTCAGCGTCAGGTCAGCCTGGTCGGGCTGCCATGGGATCCTGGGCTCAGCAGGCGAGACCAGTTCATTAGCCGAGCCACCAAACTTTCTGCTGGTTGCGAAAACGCAGAAATGCATCTTGCGGATGCATACGTAGTCTCCTCCAGCATGAGTATGAAACTTCATTAATGGGAGAAATACAGGTATCCCTCGATTTACGAAATGGATTATGGTCTTCAAAAAAACACGTGTAAAACGATTTATTTGTGTTTCAGAATAGCTTTTCCCATTAACTGAATACAAAAAATCAGGGATGTGTTTTGGACAGTCTTTCCAACTCTACTCCTTACCTAAACATATAAACCTATATCACTAATAAAGTACATAAATATTAAAACGTCTCAATAATTATTATTTTAAGACGAAAATAATTCACCTTTTTAGGGAACTTACCAAAATATGTTGGAATGACTGGGAATGTGACTTGCAGGCTATTGGACTGCAGGGATACCGTTATGCTGTCACGAAAGCTTTAAGTACAAATTTATAAATACATAGTCTGATTATTTTTCTTTGTTCACGTGAGCGTATTGTGTGAACTTTCGTGAACGTGGAAATTTGATTTCGTTAATCGGAAAGTGTTCAAAAATCTGTCAATTGCTTAAACGCGAAATTTCGTAAACCAAACTTTGTAAATAAAGGGATATTACCTGCACTTAAATGATCGTCAAATCATTGTCTGTTGTCGTGTTACAGTAATGTCACCTAGGGTGTTGATCTTGACTGTTAAAGTATTTTCTTTTGTGTCGGACAGACCAGGCACATTCTCCCAAGAGCTTTCTGGTTTTGCATCGCATCTTCCTTGTGTTTCTATGAAGAAGGGCCATTGCCCAAAGCGTCAGTTATTTCTTTTTTTCTTTTTAAGGTGGTGTTGTTGACGAGTGTGAGTTTCCTTGAAACTAATCTCCGAAGGTAGAATTGATTTAAAATGAGTGTAAAATGAGGCTAACTGGCACATGATTTTTTTCTGCTCCGATTTACCACCCGAGGTGTTTTTGGCAAAGGTTTGGAGGACAGGTTGTTAAGAATGTAAAACTTTTCATATCAATGCAGGGATCAGCAAAACATTTTCTATTCTTGTTCAACAATATTACCATATTTACATAAAGTGGCATGAAAAACACAAAAAAATATCACATTGCCTGGGGGGCATATCAGATATTTTATTTACTATGTAATGCTCAGCTTTTTCTGTTTCACTGTGTGGCTGTATGTGTCCTATTGTAGCCAATCATTCACTTGCCATATGTGACGCAAGGTCTCTTCATGGCATTCGTCTATCGGTTGTGTTCGAGTCTACATTTAGTCTAAAACAAATTCGCGTATACTCCTCACTGCATCTTTTTGCTTTATGTGTTTGTATATTAAACGGGGGCGCTTTGCACAGGGTGCATTGATCCTGGCTTATTCCAAGACACACTGGTCAACATTCTGAGACCCAAGTTTGGAGGAGAATAATATCAATTTTTTTCACTTAATTTGTATCATCTTCCAATTTCGACTGAAGCCCATGGCCAAGGATGTGTGCCAATTATCCACCTGCCTATAACTTAGGCAGTTAGATAACCCTAGTGCAGTCCCCACTTTGCCGACAATCTACGTGGGGGTGACAGTTCAATTCCATCAGTAACCTGGTATTACTCGAGGACGTTATTGCCCTTTGTGGACGGATTACCATGTGCACTTGCTAATGCCCGTACATAATATCAATGGAAAGTAACAGCACATTCATTGTAGGCTACTGGTAGCTATTGTAATCATTTAAAAAAAGATTTCAATATGCCAGCGCATTAACTTTGATGCCGACAGCCTTTTTGTTATTTGCGTGCTCACCAAGCGCAACTGTTTGAAGGTTGTAGCTTTTTCTTTATCATACCTTTAAATACATGCGTCTCATGTAACCAGCTTATTTATGTCTGTATTTACAACT